TTGGGTGTTATTTATTTTCCAAGAGTATGTAGGTTTTCTGCCATTCATATTGCTGTTGAATTCTAGCTTTAATGCATGGTGATCTGATAAGACACAGGGGGTTATTTCAATTCTTTTGTAACTAAGGAGGTTTGCTTTGCTGCCTACTATGTGGTCAATTTTAGAGAAGGTGCCATGTGGCGCTGAGAAGAAGGCATATTCTTTTGTGTTTGGATTGAATGCTCTATAGATATCCATGAAACCCAGTTGTGTTCCCCACTTTTTAATTGGATTGTTTGGTGTTTTGGAGACTAGCTTCTTGAGTTCTTTGTATATTTTGGGTATCAGCCCTCTGTCAGATATGGGGTTGGTGAATATCTTTTCCCTTTCTGTGGGCTTCCGTTTTGTTTTGGTGACTGTGTCCTTTGCCTTACAGAAGCTTCTCAGTTTCAGGAGGTTCCATTTTTAATTGTCGATCTCAGTGCATGTGCTACTGGTGTTATGTTCAGAAAGCGGTCCCCTGTTGCAATTCGTTCAAGATACCTGCCACTTTCTGTTCTACGAGGTTCAGTGTGGCTGGATTTATATTGAGGTCTTTGATCCATTTGGGAATACCTTCATTATTAACTGAAGTAGGAAGACCTACCCTGAATGTAGGTTGTATTTCATTTGCTGGGTCCTGGATTGTGTAAGAACAGAGAAAAACCCCGGGTGTGGTGGCATATACCTTGAATTCCACCACTCAGGAGTCAGAGGCAGGCAGATTTCTGTGAATTTGGGTAAGTCTGGTCTCCATAGCAATTTCTAGGACAGCTGTGGCTACATAGATACATCCTGTCACAAACAACACAAGCAGCAACAGCAGCAGCAAAACGAAACAGCAGGAACAATGGCAGAAAGAAAGCACTAAACAAAACAAAACAACAATCGAGAAAGCAATAACAAACCAAAACAACAACAGAGTAGAGAAAACAATAACAAAACACAATATCAACAACAGAGTAGACAAAACAATAGGAAAACAAAACAAGAACAACAACAGAAAGCTAGTTGAGCAGTAAGCACCAGGGAATTGTGCAGGAATTCGTTTGCTGCCCTCTTGCTCTTGACTGTGGATATGCTATGGCTAGCCGCTTGTATTCCTGCCTTGACTTTCCCAAAATGATGGACTTAAACTTGGAATTGTAAGCTAAATAAGCCCTTTTATCCCTAAATTGCTTTCTGTCAGGGTGTTTTATCGCAGCAACAGAAAGGAAAGTAGGAAAGGTCACATCTCTTAGTATTGTCCTCAGAGATTATGTTCCAATCTATGCATTTTGAATAAACAACTTAACGAATGGGAAAATAGTTGCAAAGATGGATTCTACTGGTCAATATGCTGACTATGTAAGGAACTCCGGTAAACCAACAGTAAAATTTATTTGATTAAAAATGGACAATGTTATAATCTCAAAAAAGCCAATTAAAACCAAAAGGGCAACAGACCTAAGTAGGTCTTTCTCAAAAGATGATATACAAATGGAAATTGCTGGTTGCTCATCACTGGTGACAAATGTAAACTAAAATCCCCACAGGATACCATTCCATACTTTTTACCTGTTCCTTTAGACATTAATTTAGAGCTTTCCACTCCTAAGAATTTAATATTCTGTGGTACTTCTTACAATCAGTAGTATTTTAGCATGTATTCAATGCCATATGAATTATGGTAACTATAATTTGTGTTTGATCCTGCTCCAAGCACAGTAATATAGACTTGGAACATGTAAACAAAGGCATATGTACACATGCAGTATGTATATACGTGCATGTTATTAGGGATAAAAATGAGCATTTGCATACTCAGACACCCTGCTGATAAGCACTAAGAAGAAATGTGATATGCCGGCTGCTATTCTTTTTCTAGACACTAGAGGGAGATCACGATTCACGGGAAAAAATGAATGCACCCTTTCAAAAAAAGTGAGCAGATTCCCCCACCCCTTTTCTCCTACTGAGCCAGTGTTTTCTTTCCGGGGAATTAGTATTTTTCTACTTGGTCTAGAAACTTTAGAAGTATAGGTATGATTGAGAGGATTAATCGATGTCTGAGGACATAATGGAAGCTAGCGAAGTTACGATTCTTTTATTTGTTTGATTAGTTGCCAGAGAGCCAGACATAGCACGTAATTATGGTATACAAGTCCTGTTATAACAATTGATATGGATTTTGGGTATTCAAGATACACAGGCTTCTTATTTCTTCTACACACACACACACACACACACACACACACACACTGTTGTACATGGTTGAGCATGGCATTAGTAGGCAGCCAGTGGTGTGGGAAAATTTGGTTCCCCAGTTGCTGTCATGAAAATGCTGTTTCAATTCAATATCCGAAACATCCGAGTCCTTAAAGCTGCAACAGGAGAGCAAAGGCAGATTTTTTTTAATGAGCACCTTATTATTTGTGGAATGGTTTTCTTTCTATTAGAAGGTAACATTCAACTCTCTCGCTGTATCCATGTCTAGAAAAATAAAGGGTAGAAAAATGAAAACTGAACATTCATAAATTAGAATCAATCTGGGACTATTGCTGGTGGGAGACTCAGAGAGGTATGGAAAGCTTCTGGACTTTCCACTCTGTGAAGACACCTCGAATCCAACTAGTTTACAGTTTTGCATGCTGTTCGAACTGTAGCTATCTAGAACTGGGTGGATGTTTGAGGCAAGACTTAGCTCTGGAAGATTAGAAAAAGTCTGACTGAGAAGGCAGAAAATACAAACAGTTTCCTTGTTTCTAACATTAGATAAAGAGTGTCAAAGGTAGAGAGGAGACCTGGAGGGGCGTGGTATGGTGTTGGCAGTTGGAGTGAGCAGGTGAGAAAAGGGGCAACATCCTCCTCTGTGTCTCAAGAGAGAGGTTAGCATACCAACTGCAAATACTGTTAAACACATCATGCTTTCCTCTGCTTGTTCCTTAGCTAAAGTGTCTAAACATGTAGTATTCTGAGCAGAGACAGTGAGATATTTAAAGACATCTAGACAAGGATCTTTGCCATGACCAGCGTTCAGCAATATGTGTTCTCAAAAGTAGACAGGGGAAAAATAAGAAGCAGCTGTCAATAACTGATGTGTGGGACTTTTGGGTACGATGTCGGACTAGAAGCTGCCTTGCTGCGACCCATTATGGAGAACAGTCAGAAAATACAGATTTATTCTAAATAGAGAAAGAGGGAGAACTTAGAAGTCCATAAATGCAGTGACGGAACATCAGAGAAGTACCACGCAAGAAAGGAGGAATGCAGAAGAAAGAAGCTAAGCTGACCACACTTTCAGCTGTATGCATATAGGGTGGGGGGTTGAGAGCTGAAGCCCCAGGGAACACAGAGGCTGATGAGATGGCTCAGTGGTTAAGAATACTTGTTCTTCCAGAGGACCTGGGTTTGATTTCCAGCCCTCACATGACAGCTCACAACCATCTGTAACTCCAGTTCCAGTGGATCCACTGTCATCTTCTGACCTTTCTGGGCACCAGGCACCTAGCGTGGTACACATGCAAAACACTTATGTACATAATAAATAAAATAAATAAATCCAAAAGCAAGCAAACAAACAAAAAGAGGCAAGGCAGGTAACCCCAGTGAAAGGAGACTGGCAATCTTAATGTTACCATGAAGAATGGAGTCTGCCTCTGGGTGGAAACCTGCCATAGACAAATGCTTCTTCCATCTTTAATCAGAGAAACCTCTTTGTGAAATGACTGATGTTGGAGGCAGAGAGAGATATAGCCAAGAATAAGTGACAGTTGAGTGTTCATCCCTAAACAGGATATTCATACCACACACTCTCTAGCACGCAGGGAACATTGTAGAAGAGGTGGCAGAAAGAATGTAAGAAGAGCTGTGAGCTTTGACATTCTGGGCATGTCACAGCCATTGCAATCATGATCTCACAGCAGCTGCTGTTGCCACCACTGGGCCTTCACAAGACTGGGCCTGTCAGCAGTCTCAGATCAGGGAGGAGCTCATGGGGCCCTGTCCTTTCCTGCTACTGGGGGATTCTAAGGGAAGGCAGTAATTTCCTTTAGTTATATGCCCATGGGTGAGTCCACCAGGCTCTAATGAACTTGTATCCAAATAGATAGCTCTGGTTAAACTCAGTGGAGCACAGAATAAAACAGAAAGACATACATGCCGAAAAGGGACTTGCAGGGAAGGGAGATGTGTTGACAGGGCTGGGGGAATATAAAAAGGGGCAGGGAGAATAACAAGAATATGTCACATGCATGTATGAAATTGTGATTTGGTCATGACCAAAATTTATTATGGAAACTATTGAGCTTCAATAGGCTGCATGTTTCAGTTTGAATGGTAGATGAAAGTACTTTCAAAAAATATTTTTGAGAATACTTTCAGATACTTGTGAGAAATTATGTCCTATGACTTCGGTGAAATTGAAAATTCCTTTGTGAAAGCAAAGCAATGTTTGAGAATTCAAAGACTACACAAATGTAAATAAAACATTTTGAGAAACAAAACATGTGAAAACCCAAAAAGAAAGATGGCATGATCACAGGAGTAATTAACTTGATTTGTTTGAAAAGAACAGTTGAGGGTTGGAGAGATAGCTCAGTGGTTAAGAGCACTGACTGCTCTTCCAGAGGAACCCAGCTTCAATTCCCAGCACCCACACGACAGCTCACAGCTGTCTGTAATTCCAGTTCCAGGTGATCTGGCAACCCCCCCCCCCCACACACAGACACATATGCACATAAAGTAAAATAAATCTTTAAAAACAGAATAGTTGGAAGTATTAATATATTCTCAGATACAACTCTTGATATAATGAGGGATTTAGATAATCCAGTGGGAAAGAACAGCAATATAATGGTGGTCTAACCAAAATTATGACGAGGAGTCAGCTCACTAAATGTATTGGCTTTGTAACATATGTGGTGAAACATTCACTCAATTTATGGAAATATTACTATTTTTACAGCAGGATGCCAAACTCTCATTTTTTTTTTTACCCACAGAGCAGTGCCTTCTGAATACTATTTGTGTTACAGTGAGCAAGGCTCACAAAAGTTTAGGAGAGTAGGACTGCCACGACAAAGGAGAACAAGGACTGGGTCACTAGACTGCAATTTGGTGAGTGTGTGCTATGTATTGTGAGCTTGTAAGAGACTCAGCTGTGGTGCCTCTGATAGCTATGAGAAGCAGTCAAGGGCCTCTTTACCATAGGCCTTTCCGGCTCCAAAATAGTGTTCAATTAACCTCCATACACATATTCGTGGTCTGGGATAGTGAGGGTCTATAACATAATGGCACAGAACGTGTCCAGTTTAGGAGTAGGCAAGAAGGGAACAGAGTGTACCTCCTGACCCATCCATTGAATAAGAAAGCAGAGGTATGAACCAGGCTATTCACTGGCAAGAAGGTGTTGATTTTGGAACTAGTGTGTGCTGGGTGTATGCATGAAGGGAGCAATAGCACAACTATTAACATTTGTTCCTGGCACAAAAGGAAGTTTTGAGTGGGGTTAGAAGCAATTTTGATCTGTAGAACTTGGGGCCTAACAATGATTTTGCTTTTTCTGGAAAACCTTTCTCACCTTGCTTGGGGAGCCCAGTTGGCTGGTTCTACCAAATTAGTAGCTGGAAGAAACAGCAAGTATCATGGGCAAAATGAGGAACTATGGCAGAACATAAAGTCCTGGCAGCATGAGACAGATACCTCATTTGCATAGATTTTCTTTTTTTGTCAGACAGCAGAGATTTGCAAATAGTGAGGAAATCCTCTCAGCCCTCATTAAAGTTTCTCTTTGCAGTGGACATCAGTTAACACAGAAGCCCATAAATGAGACCTCCATATCACCCTCTCCGAGAGGAATGGACGTCATGAGAGGGAGACAGAAAGAATGTATCAGCTGGAGGATAGGGAAGACTGATGTGAAATGTAATTTTCTGGACAAGGCAAAGCAAAGCACATGTGATCTCTCCAACTGTAGGCACTGGAACAAGATTGGATCATCACCATTTCATCATGCATGGCAGAAGGACTCATGAAGCCCCATCACTGACTAAGAGGCTATGGCTAGCTAATGGGTCTCTGGGGAGAGGTGCAGTTTGTTTTTTTTCTCCAGTGGTGTAGTCATTGATAAATTGTCCATGCTCCATTGAGAAACCCTAAACTCATGTTCCTGTAACACAACTCAAAGAATAAGCAAAAAAGATAAAGTAGGAGGGGCTTGTCTGGAAGAATTTCAGCCGTGGAGATGGGTGTGTGTGTGAGAGGAAACTACGGATGAAAATGGCCCAAACCCAGTGCGCATATGAATAAAATTGTCAAATAATCAACAACCAGTTTGATGTTAATGTAAAATAAATAGCATCTTGGATTTATGGTGTCATTTTATTTCCCATTTAACTTTCCATTCATTTGGCCCTTCATTGTTTTCTTTAACAAATAATCAATCAAGTACCTACTATGGACTAAGTAATGCATCTGCATTACAGAAATAGCGAGCCCTATTTGGGGGATTTTTTTCCCTCCTGATACAATAATCATACAAGTAAACTGAAATTCATGCCCATGTGACAGGTGTGATGACTAAGGTTTGCAGACAATACAGGGAGTGCAGACAAGGAGCCAAGGCAAGTTTCCTGTAAAAGTATGTGTGTGAGTTACATCCTGAAGGAAAGATGAAGAGCCAGACAGGAAACTGAGAAGATTAGGACTGGAAGAACAGAATGTAACAATGCCAAGAATTCAGGAAAGTGAAGTACTTCAGAATGTCTAAAGTTACAGGGGACATGCCGAGAGAAGCAGGAAATGACTCTGGTGACACTGAGAAGGACCTGTGAGCTAAATTTATTGGCTTTTTGAGACAGGGTTTCTCTGTGTAACAATCCTGGCTGTCCTGGAACTTGCTTTGCTGACCAGGCTAGCTTCGAACTCACAGAGATTCCCCCCTGCCTCTGCCTCCCAAGTGCTGGAAGTAAAGGCATGTGCCCCCACACCCCACTAAATTTTCTTTCTTTTTTTTAACCTTGTCTTCTAAAATCTGTGAGTAGCCATGGAAGGGAAGTGATATGATCAGACCCTTAACATTCCATGGTTGAAGGACTCATGGGGCCCAGCCATTCCCAGGGGAGCTAAGGGTACAGAGAAACATAGAATATTGAGATAAGGGCTATAAATGACAGGATAATCATGATTTAGGACAGTGGTTCTCAACCTGTAGGTCACGACCCATTTGGGGCTGCATATCAGATGTTTACATTGCAATTCATAAGAGTAGCAAAATTGCATTTATTAAGTAGCAACAAAAATAAGTTTATGGTTGGAGGACACCACAATATGAAGATCTCTATTAAAGGGTCACAGCATTAGGAGGGTTGAGAACCACTGCCCTAGGATATAAGAAATATCAAGGTAATGGACTTTCAGGTGGGAGATGTAACCTTGAACGGAGGGCTGACATTTGTCTCTCTGAAGCATTAGATAAAAATTGGCGTAAATTCATGTTTGTAAGTGGAAGAGGAACAAGGTGGGGTGAGCAAGGTGTTGCCTGGTGGTGTTGATTTTTTTTGGAGTGCAGAGAGTTGGGGATGGCCTCCGAAAGAGAGTTAAAAGGAGGTTGGTATAGTTCCGACTGGTGAGCTTTTATTTTGCCATTAGGGGAATATAAATGGGTGATATTTAGGAACTCAGTGCCCAGGCTGGTTCTGAGAGCTGTGTGAGCTTACCCAGGAGAGGTCATCATCATGGAGAAGGGTAGTGTTTGAACTGAGACAGAGATAAAGTTTGGTGAGTAGGTAGGAGAGAAAGTCAAAAGGGATACGGAAATCACTTCAACAAGAGAAACAGTGACGTGATGGGTCATGGGATCTACAATGACTGTTATTATATTATTATTACTATTATTTTGGTCAATTTGGTAAATCTAAAGTCATATGGGAAGAGGGAACCTCAGTTGAGAGAAGGCCTCTGACAGATTGGTATGTGGGCAAGTCGGAAGGTACAACTTTTGATTAATGATCGCAGTGGGAGGGCCCAGCCCCAGTGCATGGGAGGTGTTACCCTTGGGCAGGTGGTCCTGGCTGGTATAAGAAAGCAATCCGAGCAAGCCATGAAGAGCAAGCCCCTGCATCAGCTCCTACCTCTAGGTTCCTGCCTTGAGTTATTGCCCTGACTTCACTTGGTGATGGACTATAAGCTTTAAGATGAAATAAACTCTTTCCTCCCTAAGTTACTTTTGGTCATAGCAATAGAAAGCAAACTAAGACAGGAACAAAGAACACAGGAAGGGGCTAATGGAGTTGGAAAAGATAGAAAGGGTAAAATGATTGACCTTGTGGAGAGGTAGACTTGTTGGGAATAAAATCAGAGTTAGATGTAAAACATGCAAAATAATACAAGCATGTAACTGAATTATAAATTGGATATGGTGGAATTTAAAGGTAGGGCCTAGAGAGGTGTCTTAACATATGAGAAGATTTGCTATACAAGCACAAGGATCTGAGTTCAAATACCCAACACCCACTTAGAAGCTTGGCTTGGCTGCATGTACTGATAACCCCAGCATTGTGGTAGGGAGACATGTGAAGGCTGGGATCTCATAGCCTAGTTAGCCAAACCAAACCAGCAAGTTTCTGGTTAAGTGTAAGATGAGTCTGGGGCTCTACAGTGTGTTGCTGTGATGGATGTTCTTGGTTGGGTTGTTACCTTGACCACCTCTGGAACTAACTAAAACTCAAGCTGCTGGCTACATCTGTGAAGGAGTTCTTCTTTTTATTTATTTTATTTTATTTTATCAGTTCAAATTAGGAACAAGCTTGCTTCAGATGTCAATCCCTTCTCCCTCTCCATCACCTCCCCCCAACATCCCACCATCCCTTCACATGGGATGGGCTCTCAAAATCCCTTCTTTTTTTTAAGAGAAGGAATTCTTCTTAATTAAAACATTTGAAGTGGGAAGACCCATTTTTAATCTATGTCTTTTGAGTTGGGAAGTTACACCTTTAATCCAGATCATTTGAGGTGAGAAGATCCACCTTTTTAAAAAATGTAAATAATTGTTTTCATTTTACATACCAACCCCAGTTCCTTCTCTTCCCTTCTCCTGCTCCTTCACTTCCCCCTTCCCACCCTCATCCACTCCTCAGAGGAGTAGAGGAGTCAACAAAGTCTGGCATACCAAACTGAGGCAGGACCAAGCCCCTCCCCCTGTATCAAGGCTGAGCAAGGAAGCTCCACCTATAATTGGGCCACACCTTCTGCTGGTAGCTGATATAGAAGACAAGGAAGAAGGAAGCTTGCTTTTTTACGTTTTTAACCTGTTTGTTCTCAGTCTCACTGGCATGTCCATTCCTTCCCGGGTATTTGAGCTTACTTCTTTGGGATTCTGGTGTATTACTGAAGACCAGCTAAGACTTCCAGCCTTGTGGATTGAACAACTACTGGATTCTTGAACCTTCTGTTGGTAGACAGCCATTGTTGAACTAGCTGAGCCACAGCCTGTAAGCTAGTCTAATAAATCCCCTTCCAGAGAGATTCATTCTACAAGTTGTGTTCCTCTAGAGAACCCTGACCAATAGAGTTGCTAAAGTGGAAGCTATTGAAACTTAGCAAGTTTAGTAACTGTAAAACGAGGACAGAGTGTGAGATGGAAAAGGATACACTGAATTTCAAAATTCTCATTAATATGGAGGAGCCTGATTAGGTAATGGTAGCACAGAGAACAAGATTGGGGGTACACATATCCCAACTCTATAGAGAAGGTGAATTATTTTATTTTTGAGATTATAGTTTAATTACAGCATTTCTCCTTTCCCATTCCTCCCTCCAAACCCTCCCATATACTTCCTCCTTTTCTTCATCAAATTCCTGACCTTTTTTTTTTTATTTTGAAAGCATTCTGTTTTATTATCGAGAGAATCCTGCATGAGCTAAATGCTTCAAGTTTGTGACAGCTGTGTTTGTGAGTGGTGGGAAGACACAATTCAGTGCTCAGCATTTCACCTGCATTCAGCATTTATTCAGCTTCCACGAGCCCACTTATTCCATCTTACAGCCAACTGTCTTTCCCTGAGAATCTCTTTTAAAATAATAGCCACTTTTTGGTGCCTCCCACAGAAAACCATTCTTATGGCTCGCTGCTGAGTCAGTACTATTCCTGACCTTTTTTACTAATTGTATTTGTATGCCCATATCCATATAAATATATACTCCCAAATATAACTTGCTAGGTTTGTATAATGTTACCTGTGCTGGTTTGAATAAGATGGCCCCCATAGACTAATGTGTTTGAATGCTTAGCCCATAGAGAGTGGCACTATTAGGAGATGTGGCATTGTTGGAGGAAGTGTGTCACTGTAAAGGTGGGCTTTGAAATCTCATATATGCTCAGGCCATGCCCAGTGAGACAGATCACTTCCTGCTGCCTGTGGGATCAAGATGTAGAACTCTCAGCTACCTCTTCAGCACCATGTCTGCCTGCATGCTGCCATGTTTCCCACCATGACAATAATGGACTCAACTTCTGAAACTGTAAGCTATCCCCAATTACATATTTTCCTTTCTATGTGTTACTGTGGTCATGGTGTCTTTTCAAGCAATAGAAACCGAAACTAAGACTCTATGCATATGTATGCTTTCAGGGCTGACCATTTGGCTCTGTACAAAGACTTAGTGTGCTCTCCCCTAGGGAAGAACACCTCTCCACTCCTAGCTTTCCTCAGTTGCCTGTAGTTCTGTGAATAGAGTTGAGGCCTTATGGAGTTTTGTCAGTCTAGCTCGGCATGTTCATTGATGTATCCTTGTTGCGCTCATTTTGGGTAGACATGTTGGAGAAAGCAGGCAAAACATAAGAACAGACAGGACATTGGAAGGGGACAACAACTGCCCACCTCTAGGTGAGAGTTGCCATTTGGAAAGATAGACCTTGATTGCTAGAAATTTCCATTTTTGGGAGAAATGGTAATTTTTTTTTTAAATGTGAAATGTCCTGTTTTCAAATATTGGCAACTAGTTTTGAAAAATACTGTGTTGGCCAAACAAAGCAATTTTTCCACAAGCTGCCAGTTTGCAACCTCGAGGATAGAAAGGATTGTACCACACTTTCTGAGATGCAAAGCAAGGCTGGCTTTTAAAATAATAGTGAATATCTTCATTTCTTCCTTCCTAGGCTGTGATAGAAATCACCACAGTAGTTTGATCATGTTAATAAGGCTCGTGGAAAGCCAAGAACCAACCGGTTGCATTTGGCACTCAAGATGAAACCTAATTTATCATCACATTTCTGTCATTTCCAAGATCATTTTGGAGTCTTTTGAACTCTCTTTGGTCTTTATGAAAAAGAAGAGCGATGTTGTAACGTTCCAATTCAGTTTTGCCTTTC